TGTTATGCTTCTATAATAGCCTCTGCATGCTACAGAAAGAAGCTTCTTTGATGAGGTATGACTGTTATACCTGTCTAGAAAGCAAACAGATGAGGCTTCCTTTTTGGTCTGGGTGTGGAAAGGCCAGCCCACCTCATTTGCTTATTTATTTATTTGGAAAGGCCAGCCCTCCTCATTCATTCATTCATCCACTTATTTATTTATTTGAAAAAAAATACAAATTCATAGATGAACAATTTGCTAATTGAAGTATTTCTTTCAGTGAAAATGTTTGTCATTTCAAGTCTCTGTGAGTGGTCACTCCTCCTGTGTGTGGCAGTGAGAGGATGCAGGAGGGGGGCAACAGGCATCCTGGTCTGTCAGTTTCTTCCATAGACCCTTGGACAGGGTCTCTCAGTTAACCTGGGTTTGCTGGGTTGATTAGATGAGTTGGCTAGTAACCCCAGGGACCTGCCTGTCTTTACTTCCCACAGCACTGGGATTATAGGTAATGGTGTGAATTTGCCTGGTGTTTTACCTACATACTGGGGATTTGAACTCAGGTCCTAACGTTTACACAGCAAGCACTCTTACCCACTGAACCATCTCCATCTGTCCTCATTTCCAACATAAAGCCTGCTGTAAGTTAAACCCCACTCTTCACCTCTTTTCTCCTTTGTCCTGTCAAAACTTTGCCAGAAACATGAAAATCAGAGAATTTAGGAAACAAGTAGAATATTGGAGCAGCAACTTTGGATTTTTCATGATTTTTTTTCTGTCAATCACCATTAATTTCCAATGATGATGAAAATCCCCCCTTTTATGACAATTAAAAATACATTTATCCACATTCACTTATTTTTCATTCCTGTCAGACTTAAAAGGACCTTAAAAAGTATGTTTTTTAAAGCAAACTTTGTATTCATCATAGATAACAGATATACAGAGTTAACTGCTGTGGATGTCTTTCTCTATGCTGTGAATATATGTTGCTCTGATTGGTTGATAAATAAAATGCTGATTGGCCAGTAGCCCGGCAGGCAGTATAGGTGGGATAAGCAGACAAAAAGAATTCTGGGAAGAGGAAGGCTGAGTCAGGAGATGCCAGCCCACCCTCCAGGAAGCGGGATGTAATGGTACACAGGTAAAGCCACAGAACATGTGGCGACATATAGATTAACAGAAATGGGCTGAGTTTAAGTATAGGAGCTCGTCAGTAGTTAGCCTGAGCTAGTGGTCAAGCAGTTTTAATTAATACAAGCCTCTGTGTGTTTACTTGGGTCTGAGTGGCTGTGGACCACGTGGGACAGAGGAAAACTTGCAGCTACAGTTAACAGTACCATATCTAAAGTTTACTTGTAGATGAAATTTGATCTCAAGTTCAAAAATCATACCATTCACTTTCGTTAGGAACTTGGGACTTTGGAACAACGTACCCATCATTTTCCAATCACCATTCATTCTTCTCCCGTCATCCTCCATGCTCTTACCTGTCTGCCTGTCTGTCTACCTACTTATCTACCTGTCTATTTATTTTTGGGTATAGCATTAAGGGAGTCAGGAGTCTGGGATGACATTTTCTTTAATTATATATGAATTCTGGCCTAGAGAGTACTTTTAAAACACGTTGGTAAAAAGGAAGTTGCCTCACTCAAACCTTTGTCTGAGAACTTACCTGGTGTACTTACTTACTGGCCGTTTCTCTTTTGTATTATGTGGGATAAAGAATAGTCACTAAATACTTGATGTGAGCATTTTGGGGGATAATTTTGCATTTTGGAGGAAGTAATTTTCTTTAAATAGAATGCATGTGGAAAGCCTGGTTAATCAGTGGTCTAGGTTGCTGGGCTGTTGTTAATCACAAGTCTTGCTCTATAATCATAATGTATTTTGGATATTCTCATTTGTATTATCCTTAAACTCTTTGTGTGGGCATTCTGATTACTTGATTGCATCTGCCAGGCACAGTGGTTTTTAAAGCAGCATTGATGACAAAATCATGCAGCTTAGCAGGTAAAATGAGACTCTGAAAAGACAATTGTTGGTTGAAGTATGATTGTTGCCTATTGCCTTTGCAACTTGTCCAGTGAGTTCCAGCGTGGGATACAGACATGAATATAGTATTGCTCTGTTGCCTGTGGCTTCCTCACCCTGGTGGAGACACAGGTTACTGGCAGGTAGAGGTCGCCTGCCTTCTCACACAGAGCAGACTCATTTTTCACCTGTTTTTCCTCAAAGAAGGCTCTGTTAAAGACCAGATAAAAATATCGCTAGAATTGTATTTCATGAAAATCTGATATGGCCAAAGAGATTTCTTATGTAGAGTTCTACACTTCCTAACACCAATGACTGTACAAATTGGGTTTCAGTATTATTGGCACGCATGGACCTAGTTGTTTTATTATCTCAGTGTTCTCTTTTTATCGCAGCTTCTGGATAGTGGACTACTCAGTTTAGTGCTTTATACAATTATTGATGGGGTTCAGGCCATGTTATACCCAAATGTGACATCTTTGAAATTAGAAGTGGAAGGAATTTGAGCCACCACCAGAAACAGAAGGTCGCTCTGGCCTTCTTCCACCTTATCCTGTGAAGCAGGTCATAAATCTTTAGAAGATTTTCTCAGCTTTTCTTGACTAGGTCAGAGATCTTTACATGAGAAATGCTAGAGACCGAGGGGCATGGGCAGGCGTCCTTAAGTTTCTCCCAGCTAGAGTTATGACACACCATGTTCCTGTCCTGCCTAGCCACTTTCTACAGCTGACTATGCTTCATTAGACCTTCAGCAAACCTCTCTAAGAACCCTCAAAGTTTTTCACATTCTGAGGTATGTGTACTTTAATGATAGAATTCCTGCATAGCAGATGTGGGGCTCTGTATTCAATCCCCAGCACCCAAGCTCACCGATGACACCCTCAAACAAAAACACTCAGGCTTAGCTGTTTCTTTAGCTTGCATTTCCTTATGAAGGCACCTTGTGTGTCACATGCAATTTAGGCTGCATACATCCATACACTTTTCTTTAGTCAGTTCATCTTTTATAGTTAGTGTAAGCTTAGCAAGAAGGAGGCCCCCCTCTTTCATCATTTTATTTACTCTGGCTAGACTGACAGCCACCCCCCAAATGGACTCAAATTGAATTTTCTTTTCTTCTGCTTTTGCACAGGAAGAAAAAAAAAAACAAAACCATTCATCTTGAGTTTAAAGACATTAGTTTTTCAATACATTACCTCTGAATAATTTTGGTTTTATTATATTTTTATTTTTGAGATAAGGTCTCACAGTGTAGTCTAGGCTGGTCTTGAATTTGCCCTCCTCCTGGTTCAACTTTCTAGGTGCTGGCTTACCAGGTGTGTACCATCACAGCTCAACATTCCTCCTCTATCTGATATGTTGAGCAGTTTGTCTCTCAGCTGGGCTGTGTCCCCCTGAACACGAGTGCAATTGTACAAGTCAAGCTGTCTTCTAATCTTCCAGATAGGTGCCTTTCCACAAAGCCTTTTCATTAATGACCTTTTATACTTCCATTTTCTGTCCCAGGTGGTTTTAATTTCCCTAGGCCATTTCCCTAGGGCAGTCTAAGCTACACAGTGCTGTATAACTCTGGTTATACATCTGCGTTGCCCCTCCTTAGAGTTAGCTCCATTCCATTCTTTTTTTTTTTTCTTTTTTAATTTCTCAAGACAGGGCTTCTCTATGTCATCCTGGCTGCCCTGGAACTCACTCTGTAGACCAGGCTGGTCTTAAACTCACAGAGATCCACCTGCCTCTTGAGTGCTGAGATTAAAGGTGTATGCTACTATGTCTGGCTAGCTTTTTTTTTTTTTTTTGATCCCATGACCTCATCCTTTATTTCAGCAAACTTTTCTCTTCCTTTTCTAGTCTGTGCTCTGGTAGCACTAAGTACCTAGTTCTTTGTTATGTCTTTAATCAGTTTCCTCCATTAGCACTTTTTTTTTTTTTTTTACAGTGATGTAAGCACAGGCAGGTAGACTCATTTTCAGGAAAAAAAAATTAGATTATTGATTATTGTTTTTTATTTCCTGTACCGTGTGCATGCCTAGTGCCCACAGGGTCAGAAGAGGGCATTGGATCCCTTAGAACTGTGGTTACGGGAGTCTGTGGGCTACCACTGGGTGCTGGGAACCAAACCCAGGTCCTCCACCAGAGCAGTAAGACTTCTTAACTGCTGAGCCATCTCTCCAGCCCCCAGGATTGCTCTTAATTAAAACCATAATTATAGCTTTTAAATTCCCACATCTTGACCAGGCAGCGGTGGCACACACCTTTAATCCCAGCACTCGGGAGGCACAGCCAGGCAGATCTCTGTGTATTCAAGGCCAGCCTGATCTACAGAGCGAGATCCAGGACAGACACCAAAACAACATGGAGAAACCCTGTCTTAAACAAAAACAAAAAACAAACAACAACAACAACAAAATTCCCACGTCTTCTTGATGCATCTTTTGTAGATGTAAACATTACTGGTAGCTTTCTCTGATATTTATTTATTCAACTATTCTCTGATAGTTACAGCTATCTGTTAGTGTTCTCTCCAGCTGCTGGCATTTTTATGATCACTACATTTAGCTCAGAGGCAGGCAAACAGCTGGTGTTTAATAAACATGGGTGTTGGTGTTCTGTTGCACTGTGTAGAAGATGTTGAAGCAGAGATTTACAAGGCAGTTTATTTAGTGAGAGCCTGTTATAGGTAAGTACAGTGTCATGGAAGTTATCTTTTCAAAGTTATCTTGTCCACATCAGGCTGGTATTCTCTACTGTTTTGCTTTCAGTGGCCTAGCTTTGTTCCGTTTATCTTCACTCTTTTATGTTGTAAGGTAATGCTATAACCTACATTATGATATATTGGCTCACATCCTTATTTTAACATTGGCTACAGAAATAATAATTAAATATACAGTTATACCATTGTATGTACCTGTATAAGCTTTTCTTTGTAAAAAATTGTGATTTCATATCATGGTGTTTTGTTATTAAGTTCAACTTGTTTTTCTCCTCAGGCAGCAGAAGATGTCACTTTCATTGGACCTGATCCTCATGCTATTCAAGCCATGGGTGACAAGATAGAAAGCAAACTATTAGCCAAGAAAGCAAAGGTCAACACAATCCCTGGTTTTGATGGGGTAGTAAAGGTGAGAAACATTTATTTAAATCTTTAAGCGTGTGTCATTAGTCAAACATTCTGAAACAAGTATGGGATAAAATACAATTATTGTTTATACACACACACACACACACACACACACACATATATATATATATATATATATATATAAACAATATATATATATGAAAAAATAGAATGGTTTAAGTCAGGTTGTTTTCAATGGTGTGAACTACGAGCAGGGAGAAAACATTGGTATATTGTATGTCATGAGTAGATATTGATATATACTGTCATGGAAAAAAAACTTGCATTGTAGTCTGTATACCTTTAATCCTAGCACTGGGGATGCAAAGACAGACAGATTTCTGTGAGTTTGAGTTCAGTTTGGTCTAGATAGCAAGTTCCAGGCTAGCCAGGGTTATAAAGTGAGACCCTGTCTCAAAAAAAAAAAAAAAAAAAAAGGAAGAAAGACAGTGCCATTAAATTTCTTGAGCGTGTCTCCCTCGGCATCCTATGTAAGCTGCAGTCATGCTTCCACAGCTCTGGAGAGCTTGATATCCAGCACTGGCCACACTGGCCATATCAAGGAAGCCCACATGACTGAACCTCGGACAGTTCCTAAGGTTCTCAAGGCTGGGATTGGGTGTGGGGTAACTGCCATCTAAGAGCCAGCAAAAGTATTGAGGATTTCAGTCACAAATGTACAAGGAACCTCTCCAAATGGGCTTGACAGCAAATTTCATTTATTTATCTATCTATCTATCTATCTATCTATCTATCTATCTATCTATCTATCTATCTATTTATTTTGTTTATTTAGCCCTAGTGTGGTAGGGTCTCATATGAATCTTGGGCCCCAGGCTCTTGATCTTGCTACTCTGTCTCCGGAATGGTGGAACTGCAGGTATACATGTAGATGTAACCAACTATCTTATTAAATAAGAAACATAGAACCAATGCAAAGAAGAAAGCCAAGAGGTCAGAGCTAAGAGCTAAAACCTTACCCTTCCTCCTGCGGTGGTCCTACCTCCCCGAAAGAGAGCTACTTCCTGTGTTAAAGTCTTTATAAAGACTTTTGGTTTTGCCTTCTCATTGGTTGTAAACCAACCACATGACCGCCTCGTCACTGCCTGTCTGTACAGACCTCCAGGTCTTCTATGGTTGGTATTGATATTAAAGGCATGTGTCTCCAATGCTGGTTGTATCCCTGAACACACAGAGATCTACCTAGCTCTGTCTACCAAGTGCTGGGATTAAAGGCGTGCACCACCACTTCCCAGCTTTCCTATGGCTTGCTAATAGCTCTGACCCCCGGGCAACTTTATTTATTAACATACAAGTAACATTTTAGTACAAAATAAAATATCACCATATATACACTACCTCACATGGTCTTGATGGCAGAGTGCTGTTCATTTGACCCCCCAGGAAAACTACACCCTGGCCATACCTTGGCCAGGTCCAGAGCAGAGTGTGTTTTTCTTATTAGACCTTTCACTGATGGGCATGGGCCTCTCTTTACTTTGTTGGTGTAGAGGTGGGTGCAGGAATCTGGCATTTTGAGCTCTTCAGTTTGAACCTTATTTAATCACAACAGTACTGATGAGTAACAGTTCAGATTAACACTGCCTTCATGAATCGCAGTCTCCCTAGGGGTTCCAGGAGGAGGCTTCCAAGGAACATTTGTTTGATGACTCCATTTTCACAGTAAATGTTTTCTTAAGAAATTAGTCGATATAAGGTCTCCTAAGAAGAGGGATTGCTCCTTGATTAGAGGTCTAAAGGTGAAAGCTGTGGGTGGGACACTGGAAATGTGTGGCATGCCATCCCTGCCTGTCACACAGGTGCTTTGTAGGTGGAGGAAGAGCTTGTGTAGCATTGGCTGGAATTAAGGTTGATACTGCATCATCTATATTGACAAAAACTACATGCATCTCTCTACCAACTATTAGACTCTCCTGTGAGTTGAAGGGCAGAGGGAGATGGACACTTGATTTTGTGTCAGAGCATTGCCTGCTGGGTTTTTTTTCCCCTCTACTTCTTGTAGATGATGCAGAATAATTATTTCTCTATTTTTTTGGTTTATAATCTTATAGGTGTCTTTACAGAAAAAAGTGGTACTTAATTTTTGGAGTAGATTACTAGTTTATGGGTTGTATTTTAGTTTTTCAAATGTGTTATAATACTGTATATATATTCAAATGTATAGGATAGCTATAACTCTTGTATACTGTTGCTAGGAATATAAATTTATGTTCCATTATGGAAATCAGTATGGAGGTTTGCGGCGCGCTCCTCGGCCAGCGAGGAAGAACGACCACCATGCGAGGATCCTTCTCAGAACACACTTTATTGGAGCGCCTCTTGATTAAGGGAGAGCGGGAGGTGAGGGGCCCCCGAGGACTAAACTGCAGCTGCTTATATAGGGAATCAGGCAAACGTGCCGTACTATGATTGGGTCCCGCCAGACTGCGAACACGGGGAGCCACGGGATAGGCTGAGGACATAAGGCCAATTACCATACTCGTGCATCATAGCCAAATATGGAGTTGTTTACAGCTAGGCTACCAGGAAGCCAGCGCCATCTTTGAATAGCGGCTCCCTACAGAGGTTTCTCAAGAAATTGTGAATAAAACTATCATACTACCCAGCTGTACCATTCCTGGGTATTTAGCTGAAGAAATCAAAGTCATCATACAATAGAGAACCTTCACACTCATGTTTATTCAGGCACTGTTCATAATGGCTGTACAACATATAAAGAAAAGTGTGTTATATCTGTGACACAGTGGAGTATTATTAAGCCATTAAGAATAAATTAGTTTGGTTACAGGAAAATGTATGGAACTGAAGATGATAATGTTTAGTTAAATAAGCCAGGCTCAGAATGACAAATATTTCTCCTAGATGTGAATATAGGGGAGGAGGGCCATGAAAGTAGAGCATGGAGAGGCCTGAAGATAAAATGGAATTGATAGGTTGCTTGCCCAGTATGCATAAAATCTTGGGTTGAGTCCTCAGCACTGCATACTCCTGCAGTCCTAGCATTTGGGGGAGATGAAGAGAGGAGGTCAGATATTAAAGGTCATCCTTGTCTACATACTAAGTTTAAGGCTACCCTATTCTACTACTCATGAGACTCTGTCTCCTAAAAAAAAGGAAAGGGACCAGTAAGGATGGGATAGTTATGGGTAATGGAGGATAATTATGATCTAAATAAATATATCTTTATATGTTTATGAATTATCATGACAAATTTATGTTGTTTTAGACAACTAATGTATACTAAATAAACAACTTGTAGAACAATCTTCCCTTCCTTCCATTTGTCCTTCTTTACCTTCTTTCTCTGGTTCTTGAATTGTCCTTTTCATTAGAGAGAGATGAATGTTTAAAATGTAATTTTCAATATTACATCTGGTACCATGTATTTCCCTTCAACAAATTTAGTTTCATTCATCATTTATGTGGTGGTTTGAATAAGAATGGTCCCTTTAGGCTCATATAGTTGAATGCTTGGTTCCCCAGTTGGTGGAACTGTTTGGGAAGGATTAGGAGGTGTGGCCATGTTGGAGGTGTGTCACTAGGGGTGGGCTTTGAGGTTTTAAAAGTCCATTCTTTTCCCAGTTAGCTCTCTTTCTGTCTATTGCTAGTGGATCAGATGTGAGCTCCAGTTACTTCTCCAGCTACTCTCCTGCCTGCTGTCATGCTCACCACCATGATGATCATGGATTCTGCTATCCTCTGGAATTGTGAGCACCGAATTAAACTCTTTCAAGTTGCCTCGGTCATGGTATTTTGTCACAGCAACAGAAAAATAACCAAGACATTATCTAATTAACTTGCTCTTGGGAAATGGAGAGCAGAGCAAAAATTATAATGTGAGACTTGTATAAGAAAGCAGGGCTCATGAGTAAGAAAAAGGAATTAGCCAACAGTTACTTGCCACTCACTGTGATTGCAAAGAGCTTGAAGTTCCAGTGGGTGACCAGCAAACATTCAGACAGTTTAGTTCATCTCAGTGACATTTATCTCAGTGGACACAGACTCATATAGGAAGGGCACTGAACCCAGGTTTTGGGTAAAAGTGATAGCTAAGCAGTAGGTGAGAGGCAATGAGTTAGGTACAAGGGAGTATTATGGTGGGACTCAAGACTGTCAGTAAAAACATGGTCTTGGAGGATCATGGAACAGAGAGACAGGGCCCACTCCAGCATACCATGAAGAACTACATTAGGAGATCTGGTAAGGTTTGAGATATGGCCACCAGTTCTGTGTAGAGGCGTTCCTTGTGGCTTTGGGAGCCCCTAGCCAGTTTCATGCAAATGGTTAACAGGAGACAACTGTGTAAGAAGAAAAGTCATTTTGGGGAGTGGAGGATGCAGCCCAGTAGGTGGGGTGCTAACATGCTGCAAGCCCAGGGTTCAATCAGTGTGGCTGTGCACATCTGTAATACCAGCACTTCAGAGGATTAGGAGCTCAAGGTCATCCTTGGTGACATAGTGGATTTGAGGCCAGCCGTGTCTCAAATAAATGAGTGAATGAATGAATGAATGAATGAATGTAATTTTTGTTTGCCAAATGGTAAGAGCATAGCATAGAGTTAAACCTTATTGTTTGATATTCAAATTGGAATCCTCTTCCTTTTGTTGAGGCAGGAAATGATTGGTCCTAATACAAAGTGTTGGGTGAAGCAAAGGCCATGTTGGATTAGTAGGTTTATGGATGCATTCGATGTTAGCTATGAAGCAGAGGGTGAGTCCCTTATTATTATAGTTGTAACACTGACAAAACAACTTTTGGGACATGAAGTTAATGTCTCTGAATCATTATTGCACTTTAATAGGAACTAGTAAGTGCTGTGTTGTAATTCCAGCACTGAGGAACAGAGGTGAGAAGATAGCTTCACTTCAGGGCCAACCTGAGCTGCACACTGAGACCCCAGGTCCAATAAATAAATAAATAAATAAATAAATAAATAAATAAATAAATAAATAAATAAATAATAAATAAAAAAATAAAAAA